TTGAACCTATTCCAATCCTTATCTTGCTCTGAAGATGGCTGCAACTCACTGACCAAGTCCAACTGCAAGCTTCCAAGTTAACAATGGAAAATGGTGAAACTGATGTTACAGAACCATGGTGATAGTTTGGATTGACTAGGTATGGAGTATGTAAGATGTTTTGATCAGTTAAACATAAAACGCATGAGGCAAATGAGAGTTGGCTGAGTTTTTGCATAAACTGTATGCTTGGGCAGATTTTTGGTGTTTTTCAGTTTGAGAGAGTTCTAGGTTCAAGCCAAGCGTGTAATCTCTTGTACATTGTTTGCATATTAGTATAGAAGTGATCCAAAGTCAGCTCTCTACTAGTTGTGCACGCCTTAGCCCTTTTTTCAACTTTTCTTGTACTTGAAGCAAAGTTGACAAGACCAAACCCACATGCTTGTACCAGCTTGCTTTAGGGTTGATATAAGTTTATACTAGTTGCTTGAGACCTGTGTGGTTTGCTTGTATCAAGGGGACAAGTTCAAATCTCCAAGTTGACAAAATTGCAAAAGTGCATCTTTATGAAAATGGCAATGAAGCCTTTTTGCCCAAAATGGAAATACAACTTGTGTAAAAGTTCAAAAGCAAGGATAAAGGCTTTGTCAAATGAGTATGCATTTAATTAAGGAGTGTGTATCAAGCTTAGGACCTGTAAAGCAAGAAATAGCCAGCATAGATTTGGTTTGCAACTTGATTCTTCATGAAAATGGCTTGAACAAAAAGTGAGAAAATGCCAACTTCCTCTCTTCGATTCTCCCTACTCAAAAATGATCTTGGAGAGTTCTTGGACATTTTGGAAAGCTTGAAATGTGCTCTATAATACATGTTTGAAATGAATTTTGAGATAACTCTTGGAACTAGGTGAAAAATTTCCATGAATTTGGGTCCAAAACCTGCCTATATTAGGGCAAAAATTTACTAAGTTAAGAAGTTCATGACCATGTATTCACAAATTCATAACATGAGATCCAATCATCTTTAAGGAAACGTTTGTGAAGAAAAGTTGTAGATTTCATGGGTATCTACAACTTTCATGTTGGGAGTTTTCTTTGAATCAAAATGCATCATGGTGAAAAAGTGGTGCAAAGTTGAGAAAAAATAAGAAAATTTTTATACTTAGAAAAATTCTAAGTTATGAAAATTTTCAAATTAAAACCCTAATTTTCAAATTTAGTTTTCTTGGTCAACAAGTTTCACATTTTGACATATGTTGATAAATTATGACCCTTGGCACTTGATTTTGAACAAAAAGTCAAAGTTTGACTTTTTAGAGTACATTTGACTTTTGATCAGTTGACTGCAAATTTCATCTGTCACTCTAATGAACTTGAGATCTTTTGAACCATGTAATTAAGTCAAGATGATGCAATTGAATCTTTGAAATCATGCTTGAAATCAATTGGTCAATTGCTAGGTTAAAAATCAGAAATTGCCCTTCCTCAGTCAAAACCCTAATTTTGACCATTTTGCCCTTTTGATGATTTGATCAAATCTCTTGAGGTGTTGTGATCCAAACTTGATCAAATGGTACATATGAGTATAAAATGTTGATGTGGATCAAAAATTATGAAGTTTGACTGTAAATTGGCCATGGTTGACTTTTTCCCCAATACAGTTGATTTTTAGGTTAATTGTCCAATTGACTGATCCAAAATGTGGTTCAAGGCTTGAAACTTATCATGAGCAATCTTAGGGGTCCAAAATGATGTATGAAAGTCAAATGAAGCATTGGTGGTCCAAAAATCCTTGTGCAAACTCAAACCCTAATTTTGGGTTATCAGTGCAAGATGAGATGTCTTGAGCTTACCAAACCCTAATCTTGTCTTGAGTCAAAGAAGTCTTGTGAGATTTTTTTTGATAAATGAGAGGGCAAATTTTGGGGTACAACATGGTGTAGTTGAGAGGGCGCCAAGTTCAATTGATTAAACACACCCACCTAAAAATTACTAATGGAAAGATGAAGCCCCAAATCTCTGAAGACGACCTCGTACATGGGAAAGCGGTCCTCCTCAAATTCCGAGCATATCCTGGCCGTAGGCGTCAATCGGAGGATCGTGAAATTCCAAGAAAATCCTTATTAGTCACCGCCGTACTCGATAACAGTATATGCTTCCCTTCTAGTATAACTGAAGATCGAAGATATCCCTCGAGGTTCTTGCCCGACCCAAGATAGTGATGGGTCATCGATCGTGTCAACCAAATGGACACCTTCGTCGGTTGCGCTTGTCTCTTCGACGTGGACGTGCTCGGATGACTCGAAGGTTTTCGCCTTTTCACCTGTAAAGCAGAGGAAACCAGTGAATTCGACATCTAAATGAAATCCACCCTTCCACCGCGACATAGGTGAAATGGGATAGCTGCACCCGGACCAGGTCGACGATCACTCGTGCAGTGAGAAACATACACGACTCACTGGCAATACAAGGAGCTAATATATACCTCGCACGGTCGCACGGTTATGACAAAGACAATACGAATTTTCTTGAGTAACGCGGGCATGAGACAAATCTCACAAACATATCCATAAAAGCGAGGAACATATGAATTTGCCGGACAAATTCGTGAATCCACCGTGGAGCAGATGAATACCCCGGGCAAATTCATGATTTTTGTGGGGAGCAGATGAGTATCCCAGGAAAATTCATGAATTTTGTAGGGAGCAGATGAATTCCGCGGGCCCACTCGCAAATATTACGAATAAATGTATGAACACCCCGAGTGAAAATCCCCCCGATAGAGAAATTCATCAAAAAGTCATCAAAAATCCTATCGTAAACAACAATCAGTGTTAAAAAACACTTACTTGATCGGAGTAGGTGGGAAGTCCACGGTGGTTCTTGTGGAGGGGTTAATGGTTGGGACAGATAGCGAAACGATGGAGAACCGAACGTGACAGAGAGAATGGAAAGAGCGGGAATTGGAATGTGACAAATGAGCCTTGAGGCGCTATTTATAAGGCTGATGTGGAATACAAAGCATTGCATTGGACAACACACAAACCGCCCTTCTCCTCGACGCCTATGCGTTCAGGTCATGATGGCCCCTTCTCCCTAGGCCATCATTTGTGTCCCAAAAGCCACGCCACGTGGTTACCTCCCGCGAACTTTCGTCTCCCCGTGAGTCAAGGAACGACAGAAATGTTCCCCGTGAAGCCAATTCCAACCCTTTCCCGAGTAACCACACGTATCGACGGCTTCCTCCTTCAACGCGAGGAAGGATCCCCGGTTAAATTATGTTCGCCATAATAAGAAGTTGAATTTAAGTCATAACTCCTTCACCAGGAGCAACGACTTGGGAGGCTCTTGTTTTGAACTGGGCCTGCACTTGGCCCAAACACCATACAAGGCCCAATTCGACTGTTACGTGGGATAGCATGCTAACAATGACTGTCCTCGACTAGCTCGGGCAGTAACCTGGTTCTTCTGGTCGATATGGCTTTGCCTTACAGGGACAACCCCAGGAATGCGAGGAGGACCAAAGACGATCAGAGGACCTCGCGAGCATATCCTACTCTTTTTGTCGACCAAGACAAGTCTTCCAGGGACAACTTCACAGCTGGTGGGGAGGATCCACGACGGACAAAAGTACCTCACGAACATCCTCCTCGTAGGGCTGACTCTTAACACCTTCAAATATCAATGAATCCTCTTTGTCCCGAAAAGACCGTATCCATATTCTCCTAATAGTTCAGAGGTATCCATCCAGGTTGGGGACCACATGCTGACCTCCACTACGCACGTAGGACCTGACAATCTCCATTTTGGGTCTGCTTGCCTAGCCCAATGATGGGGATCTTGGCCCAGCGCTGAGAACTATAAATACCCTCTCACTTGAGAGAGTCATGTATTGATTCTTTAACTCACATACTCTCATACTTGCTAGCACTCTCCCTGAATCTTACTTTAGCATCAGAGTGTCTTGCAGGTGTCTCCCATCCACTTCACATCAAACCGTTACTGGACAAAAAACTCAAAGACCTTGACAGTCCCTTCTAATCAGATACAATCAATCTTGATCTAGTGCTGCAGTACAGCAGGCAGTACTGTTTTAAATCTTGGTAATCATTGTTTCTAAATGTGATATTGGTGGTAATAACCTAGAATCATCTTTGCATATTTTTTTCTTGTGAACTTTTACTCAAAGATTTTGGAGTTGGTTGATGAATAGCAATGGTATCACTATCGATACTCAGCTCTGGTGACAAATTCTATTCTCACTAGTGCAAATTTGTCATCTAGAGTGTTGTTATTAATATATTAAACACTATTTGCTTTTGTAGAAAAATAGATTGAAAATCTACTATCAATTCTATTATATCTAATATTTCCCTCCATTCAAATTATTCAAACATTTTTGTTGTTCGTAACAATGGCTGAATTTGCGATTCTTATATCTTTTGATGTGAAGATTAATTCTCCCAATGCTCCTATCATCAAAGAGATCACATGGCACTTTCCTATAATATTTGAAGATAAAATGCAACTCAGGTGAAACAACTCATTGTAGTCATGGAATTGTAGTCTATGGAAGTGTTTTGAGAGATTATCAAGTTAATTTTTAAGGTTTTGAGTAGAGATGTGATATTTTTTTTCTTATGATTCTGAATCATCGTGCTTGTTGTTGCTTCCGTCTTCCCAAAACTCCTCAATTATATTTCCTTTTCTCTTCATTATCATGATGAATTGATGGAGCTATTTTAACTATTAAAATTATTTTTGATAAATACTGCATCATCGATTATATGTAGCAATCATGGAGCAACTAAATCCAACATTCATACATTTTATTCCTTTTAAATCTAAAAGTTGGTGTCCACCAAAAACCCTGCTAGTTAAACAAACATTCAAGATAGAAAACAAATATTTCAACAAAGAGAAATTACACCAAGAAAAAAAATGGAATGCTCAATCAGGCACCATACATTTCTAGGTGCCCACTACTTCCAAATACAACAATATTCTCCTCTTTACCTAGGATCATTTTCCTGAAATGAGAAAAAAAAATAAAATTTAATTTTTTAAGTAAGGGATATAGTAGGGTTTAAAATTCGGTCTGTGATTGTAAAAATAGATATCTATAAAACAGTTTTGATAAATACCAATATCAATATCATTATTACTATTTTTTATATTAAAAAATAAATTATAATTAAATTACATCTCGATGATTATAATACATTTTTACCGATCGAAATCACAAAAATCTTACGCGATCGTAATACGACCGCGAGTGTTTTAAAACCTTGAGATAAAGTATGTATAAAATAAATTTATGTTAATATTCAATACTAAATTTACACAAACATTGAAATAGAAGTAGAATAGAATAAAGGTATAGTAGCTATATGTACCTATTGATTTTTTGCAGTGAAGAACTGCTTCATAAATTGAGTTATCATGAAAATCACTCATTGGAGATGTTTTCTGTGAACTGCTTCTCAAACTTTTAACTTGCCAATCTATCTCATCAATATCATCAACTCTAATTTTTGTGCTTTTCCTTGACCTCTCCACTTTCTGCCTTAATTGGTTGAAATACCTAAAAAATTGTACCAAAGTTCTCCATGTTGATTTTCTCATCCTTATAAGAAAACCATGATGATTTTCCACATTTCTTGAAGAAAAATTGGTAGAAGAAAAAGAAGTAGCAATCTTTGTTTGAATAGATTCTTGAGTATAAGGGTCAACAAAAAATGGCATAAGAAAGCCATTGGAGAAAATCTCATCAGCATGAACAAGTACAAGATTTGATTGAGAGATACAATTATCAAAATTGAAGCTTTGGCCATTATTTGAGGTACTATCTCCATAGAAACTGGAAATAGAGACTCTATGAGGATCATCATCAAGATAATCCACAGGGAATTTATTAGAGTTTGATAACCAACTATATGAAAAACTATCACTAGCTAGAGGCAATGAGGTTTCCATTTGCAATGTTTAATGCAAAGGATGGGTTATATGAATTAAATATAAAAACTTATATACTAGTAAGGACAAAGTTTTTTTAGAAGCAACAAAGAAAGAATAATATTTGGGTGTCTTTGATTTATGATTTAAATAATAATTTTTGGGATCAATTTTATTAGGAATCTCATTTTTGATAATGTTATTTACATAAATATGTTGGGTAAAAATCATTTTAGAGATACTTTTTTCAAGTCTATTTACTTTACAAATTAAAACTAGAAATAAGAAAAATGGTAGAGAATAAAAAAAAGTTATTATAAATAATTGCGTTTCATTTTTTAGAATAAAAAACTAGAAATAAGAAAAATGGTAGAGAATAAAAAAAAGTTATTATAAATAATTGCGTTTCATTTTTTAGAATAAAAAACTCTCAGCCTTTAACATGAAATTAAAAAGGTAATAAATTGCATAAATTTAGTTCTAAAAATAAATAAGATCAGTTAATAATTTTTTTATCAAAAATAAATAAATTGAATTTTCATTTTAAAAAAAAAAAAAATCTTGAAACAAACACACCTTTTAAAAAAAATAATATTAAAAAAATAAATACACGAGTTATTCAAACCTTAATATAAACAAATATAAATACAAAGTGATACTCGAAATAAAATAAATAGTTTTTCATTAAAATTCATTAATTAATCGTACCATATTATTAACTCAAAAACATCAATGTAATTTAACATAATACACGATCATCACATAATAAAATTATTTTACACCATTTCTTCTATTTTCTATTTCTTTTTGTGTTGACACACTTTCAAAACATTTTAGACATAGCTACGTGAGTATAAAGATATGTTGAATCAAATGAAGAGATTAAATACTTAAATTTAATTATATGGCATGTAGTTTTTTAATAGTAGATGAGTGAAGGTAAGTGATTAGTATATATATATATATATATATATATATATATATATATATATATATATATATATATATATATATATATATATATATATATATATATATATATATATATATATATATATATATATATATATATATATATATATATTGAGAATATTAATTTTTTCATAGATAATATTGATATCTGGTAAGTAATTAATTTGAGAAACTACAGATATATTCTAAAGGAGTGAGACAGCACTCATATAATAGAGGCAATAGCGACATTTTGTATATGCTATTAATTGCTTATAGTGACTAAACAATTGTGACCACAGGGGAAAGTTTGTCTATTCTGTTAAGGAACAAATGGAACAACATAAATGCAAATCTGTATTGATTTTATTGATTAAAATTTTTGCTTCATTTCTCATCTTTATAGTTATCCTTGTCTATAATTTCTACTAGGAAAATAATGATTGTAGCTTAAATCTATTTACCTCCTTATTATAGTTACGTAAAGAAGTTAATTTATAAATTATCTTACACAATCATACAAAATATTTATGAACAAATATATTCACAAATCTTTATAACTTTAAAAATACATCGTAGGTGTGTGTTTTAGTGGTAAAATATTTGAGACTTAAGAGTGTGTCCTTCTTAAAATTTTAAATTCGAATCCTATTAAATATAAATTATTTATTAAAAAAATATCTTCAAAGACACAAAATAAAAAAAATAAAATAAAAATTAAAAATTAGTGACGAAGAATTGTAGCATGATGATTGCCATATTTTATGATGTAAAACGATGTTTTAGAATTTTGAACTCTAAAGAGCATGATAGATGCCACAATATAATACTACTACCTAATTACCTTTTATATACAACCTTAGAGGTGGAACCAAGAATTATTTTAATCCTTGAATACATGAGTAGTTTGTTATTGTAATTTATATATATTAAAATTAAAATTAACCGGTGTGAAAGGCTTTACATTTAATCACTATTTTTAATATGATGTGGTGAAATTGTTTATCTATATATATAAGCGAATTAACTCTCACTTTTTAACAGTATCGTCGTATCTCACAGTAAAATCTTAGCACACATTTTCTCTCTTCTTTGTCGTCGTAAGCTCTCATATTCTACAGTATAGCCGTCAATCTTGTTCTTCATATATAAAGATATTCTTCTCCTTTCTTATTTTCTCATTTTCACGGATGTTGTTGTTATTTTTCACAGGATTTCATATGATTTTTTTTTTGTTCAATTGTTTTATGGTTTTTTGTTGTTGTTGTTGTTGATAAATATAGATAAATGTTTGTTGACATGATATGATGGTCATATTATTTACTTCGATTAATACAAGTTTGCAGATTTCTCCTCAGTTTCGTCCTCCTTTCATTGTCGGTGATATTCACAAGAAATCACATACTATGATTGTGGTTCACATGATGGTTTGTGTTGCTATGAGAAAAAAAATATAAGAGAACGAAGTTATTCATCCTCCTTGTATTTTTTCTCACAGTAACACAAGTAGATCAACTCTAGCTTTATTATGAGACAATCATTTTTTCAATTAAAGGTATGTATGTTGTTGATAAATATTGTTGTTGATGTTGTTTTGTGTTGTTTGTTAATAAATGATTTTTCATGTGTAGCTAGCAAGTGGTTAGGTTATTCACTTATCAGTGATGCAGTTGGTTGTGTGAATAGGGATCTAAGGCTACTGCGAACTTGTGTTCTCTGTGGAAATATTATATGAATTTTTCATATAATATGCCCATAGTGAACATATGTTTTCTACTCTTTCCGCTACTTTATCTTCTTTATAGCTTTCAGGAATTGTTAGTTATCAAGGTCTCTCAATCTATGTTAATTAATTGATGTTTTTGTTAATGAGTTTGTTATATCATTTGTGATTGTGTGTTTCACTAACCCCTCATTGAACTTGCATTTACTTAAGTAGATTTTTGAGATAATAATTAGAAAAATTAAATTATTCTTGAAAATTAACTTATACGATCCAATATTTTTTTCGAATTGCATGCGTCTTGAAAATCATAATTCCCTCTTTAGCCTATAAAATTTGATTCAATGCTACAAATTCTTCAAAAATAATGATGATAAATGAATGTCAGTCCGAGTCTCTCACACAAAGCTTGATGTTTGCAAAATAAACTAGAAAAAAAGAGGAAATCAATTTGTGTGAAAGACTTAGAAGACATTTATTCATCATCATTACTTTGACGATTTTGAAATTAAATCAAATTCTATGGATTAATGAGGAAATCATGAATTATAATATGTATGCAATTCAAAAAATATTGGATTGTTTAAGTTGTTATTCAAGAATAATTTAATTTTTCAGATTATTATCTTAAAAATCTATTTGAATGGTTGTATATGATTAATGAGGGAAGAGAAAAACAAACAATTCCATATTTTATAATAAACTCTTACATATACCACAACGGTTTGAACATATAATCGTGGTGAAAGGTAATTTTTTTAAGCGGTTTAATTTTGATTGCAGTTGGATATTGAACCCATGACCTTATATTTATGACAACAATTATTTACGTTAACCGTTGTGATAGGTAGCACGCTACATAGTTTATCACAACGATCACACTCTCGTGGTTGAAAGCATCATACATACAACCACAACTTACCTCACAACAGTTGATCAACCGTTATGATATTTATTTTCCAACCATGGTAAAAGAATTTTACCGTAATAGTGATACTTATAATACACTAATTAATTTATTACAAAATAAATAAAATTTCTCACCTATATTATATATTTATCATATATTCACATACCATATTTTCTTTTTGATATCTCTACTTTTTAAGTTGATACTAATTTTCTTATGGAAAACACAAATATGTCATTCTTTTTAAATTTACAACCTCACCAAAAGAGTTTCAATTAATGTTCAAAATTTAATTTTTTTAAAACCCGATTTTGCTACTAACTTCAATTATTCATTTGTTCTAACTAAATAATCTTATTTTACTCATTAACATTTTGTCTTAGTTTGAAACAATGTACAACATATTATATATATTCAATATTTATATATGTCCAACTAACATTGCTCCTTAAAATCTAAAAGTTGCAAAAATTTATGCTCACCCATTAATGCTCGCGTGAACAAAAAAATGGGTGGGACTGACATAATAGGGGATACGAGTCCAAAAAAACTATTGATAATGATACATAACAATTATATTCTTCAATTTTTATTTATTTTTTTATTTTTAATTAAAATTGTAATAAAAAATAATATTAATTACTACTAATATTATTTTAATTGATTGGCCTATCTAAATTTACTATTGCCAAAACATAAGTTAATTACTTGGTTTTTCTATTATTTAATTTATTTTTTAATTATTTTAATTTTGCAACATAGAATTATAAGTCGACAAAGTGTAAAATCAAATAAAAGAAATTATTTTAATTTATACCATTGATTTACATTGCATGAATCATTTATTTAATATAATATTAAATAGTTTTAATTTAATTTGTACTATTTATTTGCATTGCATAAATTTTATTTATTATATTTATCATAAATTAAATATTTATGGGAAAGATGAATAAATTAATAAATCCACTCTAATAAAAGTGCAAACAGGACTTAAGTTATCTTGACAAGAAAACCTATTTTTTATAATAAAATAATGTTATTAAATTTATTGACCATCAAACATAGACTAGCCCTATGAAATATGCAAGCAAAACATACATGTTTGACGGGACGAAATATCTTAATATTTTATATTATATTTCAATTTGAAATTATAAATATACAAATTAAAAGTTGTACATATTAATATATAAATGATATTTTTGAAAAATAAATTTATAAAAATTTATTGACCTTTTTATTAAAAAATATGTGAAAAAGATTATGAGTACTTGTAATAAGAGGATTTGGGCAAAATAATATATACCTCTTATTTTTCTTTGAATATCTCTACTTTTTAAGGTGATATTTAGTTCAATTAATATAATTTCTATGTACATCTCGACAAAACACTAATAACTTCTAAATCAAATTAATATTTATATGACAATTATA